TGAGAGTGAGAGGGAGGCGGCAGTCTAACAGCTGGGCGAAGCACGAACTCAAGCTCCACTGGCCTACTGAGCGTTAACGAAAACGAAATGGAGTCAAATCGGAAACTGAATGCTACTCCGACAGGGACATTCGGACTCAAAATTTGTGTACTCCTATGTATGTATCTCAATACGTTTTGTTATTGTCATTTTCTAGTTATCACAAAATGTACACAGTGCATACATATGTATGTATGTATGAACATTTGAATGTACACATATAGTATTCGCGTTTGTAATGCAAATTAAAGTTACTTAGGAAAAAAGTTTAAAAAAAAAATAGAGAATAACTAACATTTACATAGCCTTCGAATGCATATTTTTGGTATCTCAACACAATAATATATTTATTTAGCATGTACCAAACGTATTTATTTTGTTGATTGATGTACTTGTCGTCGTTGTTTTTACGATGGGCGAGAGTTGGCGAGTTGTGTAATACGGCTTAGTTATTACAATTGCTTTTTCTATTGTTCTGGGTGTTTGTTGATTTTGTTTGTTTATATTGTTGTTGTATTTTTTAAACGCTCTGTCCCGTTACTTAATTGCAGCGCGCGCTACCAACGCCGTGTGGAACGTCCGTAGGTCTTGAAATCGTTGTAGTAACTGAAATGAAACTGAATTGACGCGCGAACGCAAAACTCAGTCAGCCAGCAACAAACAAATACGCGCTTATACACCCGCACACACACACACACACACACACATATTAGTGCATTCGTAACGATGTGCACACGAAGTTCGTGTATTCACGAACTGGCACACGAGCGTTTATAGTGAGTGCTCTAAGCTGTTTTAACGTCTTTGCTTGTCGTGGTGCTCTCTTTCTCTCTGTTGCTGGGGTTTCTCATTTTGTGCTTTTTCCTGACAGCTACGATAGCTAAATTTGTTTTATCTTCAAAATATTGGGTGTTTTTATTGTACACACGCACACACACACATCTGCACAGCGATGCTTGCACGCATACCTTTGTGAAATACGTATGTATGTATGTATGTGCATATCGAAAGCTTACGGTCGTAGTAAAAAATCGTAGGACAACCCCAACACAACGAAGGTTTTCACCCATTCGACGACGATGACAACTTTCGCACAGAAAGGAAAGTGCATATGTACATGACAAAAAAAAAAAAAAAGAAAAAAATCGTCCTGCAAAGGACAAAAGACATGTTCCTGCCCCCAAGTTATATGATGTATTCATGTGCATGTACATTTTATATAAGAAGTTCAACAGAAATATATAGAAAGAAATGCAGTTGATTATTTAGGTTTAGATAGGTTTATTTATTTATCATCATAAAGGTACATACATATATGTAGATACAGATATACAATAAGGAATTACATGCATACAAAAATATTTATATGAATTGGCTTCCAAGGAATATCTAATATGGTACAATAATTTAATGTTATAGTCTACCAAAAAAAAAAAAAAAAAAAAAAAAAATTAGTAGTATAGGTGTATATATCACAAATATGTATATTTTAATTTTTAGCGAAAACTAATCAAGGAACGCCATACCAATTGAAAAGCCCAATATAATTCAAAAGGGTAAAGAAATTGGGTTACCTTAGAATATTGAAAGGATCTCAGCTTTGGTAGGACAGAAACGTTCACGTTTTCGAACATGTATTTTTCTAAATTATATATTTTCTTTCGTTTACTTTATTTTCTTTTCTCTTCGATTTATAGTTAAGGTACTCACACAAAATAGCGTTTCGTGTTCTGTCGTAGGATAAAATACATACATAAATATATTTAAGCACGTACATTTGATATTTGTAGGTCGAGTTGCGATTCAAGCAATTACATTAACACACAATAGACATACATATATATATATATATAACTGCATATAACTTCGTAATAGTACCAAAACAAGTACACAAGAATCCAAGTACTTCGAATATTGTTTTGGGTTTAATATGTGTGCACGAGCCCAAACGAACGGAAAAAAAATATAATAAAAACAAACAACAGCCAGTCAAATCCCAAAATACCCCGCCCCACCCATACCCGCCCATTCATTCGACGCCCTGGTCACGTTTTTAGCGTCGTCTGGTCTCGCCGGAACGTATCTGTTCCCGACTGCCGCCCCGCTCAATATACCAGTTGTTGTTGCGCTTCTGTTCGTGCCTCTGGCGTGATTGCTCCCGATGTTGCATCATGCGTTCGTGCCACTCGCCGCTGCCGCTATCATTGTCGTGCTCCCCATGGCGCTTCTTGCCGCGCTCCTCCTTGGACTTGTCAGCATGCCTTCTGCTCGAATCGTACTCGCTGCTCTTATATCGGTTACGCTCCCTCGAGTGCTCCTGGCGCTTGTGATTATGTTTCGTTGCGTAACGCTCCTTGGAGCTATCAAATGTCGGTTGGGGCACGTGCACGGGCACGGGTACGGGTCCGCGACTGTTGTTATCTAACGGTGTTGGTCGCATCTTTTCGCCATGTGCATGAAAGGTCTTTGGACTGTCGCTGGGGGTTTCCTTCTGCCCAGCGAGTGTGCCTAGCCGCTCGGTGACCTTTTCAAAGTTGTGAAAAGCTTGCGATTGCTGCAGCACATCGTTGACCACATTACCAATCTCGTCGGCTAGAGATTCGGCATGCGGCTTGTTTTCCATGCACATGGCAGCGATTTCCACATATTGACCATCTGGACACTTGTACGGGCGCTTCAGATCCGCTTTGGTTATATCTACCGGATCCACGGAGTTGCCATTGCCAGGCCAGGCCTTGAATGTTTTTGCCCGTCGGCCCTGCGATTGCGCCTGCGCTTGACCCTGACCGCTGCCAGCCAGCGAGCTCAGGTACTGCAACTGCTTGGATATGATGTCAATCTCGGCCCGCATCAAATTATTCTGCAGCTCCAGCTCAACGAGGCGCTGCTCCAGCTCCGCAAGGGGCTTCTCACCGCCGAGCACCTGCCACTCGGGATTACGCAGGCGGCCAATAAATGCCAGTATAGCCAGCGTGGCGCCCACATAGAATACAGCCGTCAGGCCGCTCTGCACCAGCGTTGGCAGGCGGTAGCCCGCCTGGGTTGGCTGGCTCAACTCGCTTTGCGGACGCACAACAGGTGACGACGTTTCAGCCTGTAGGGCATCATCCAATTCTAACTGAACGCGTCGCCGCTCACGGATCTGCTGTACGGCGATGTCCTCCGGTAGATTGCCCAAGAGGGGCAGCTCGTGACCGGAATCGTATTTAAAATTGAGTTCGTTCAGATGTTCACGCAAAAATGGATGTGGGGAAATGCGTCCGGTGCTTTCGCAGTCGCTAATTATCGAAATGCCGTCCGAGACGTCCTCGGCCTGGGTATCTGGCTCCTCGACGAGCTTGCCTCTGTGGATTCAAAGGATTTTAAGATAGTCTCTATTGCTTCATCTCTCTGGTAGTCTTCTTTAAGACTCACCTTGCATTTGCCTGCTCGTCCTCCCCCACCCCCTCCACACGTTGCTCTCTAGTTAAAGGGCCTGCTGATAACGACGACTCCTCACTGCTGCTGCCGCTGCCGCTGCTATTGTTGTCGAGTATCTCGATTCTCTCTGCCGGCAGTATGGTCCACGATGATGATGTGCTGATGGGTAGCGACTGCTCGTTGGATTTGGTTGTGATGCTGCTGCTGCTGCTGCTCTTGCTACTGCTCTTCTCGTCCATGCTGCTTTGTCTGGGCTGGTGGCTTCTTTCTCTGCAAATGCATACAAGAATTCTTTATTTTCGTATCGACCTTCGTGGCGCTCTAGAATTATAGCAAAGCCGATGCGTCAATAGCATTGCCCATTGCTGGCCACTGTTGACAACTGCGCTATTTTCTAGCCAAAAATCTCTAAAAAATTACATATTTCGCATCTCTATTGACTTTTTATACTTATTTATGTAAATACCACTTGCTTTTTTTTCAGCTATTTTTTAAAGCCTATCTCAAAGGTGAGTTTATCTACGTCCTTATAACTTGCCGAATATAAGCTTAAAGTTAAAAAGTATAAATACATACATATGTATAAAGTGACATTTAAAAAGCTCAATAAACAGTTAAATTTAAAACATAAAAGCATTTACATTCTAATTAAACTTTTACTCGCTGAAGCTAGCCTTTTTTTCACTGCGTAAGTGTTGCTCACATTATACATATACATACATGTAATACACATACATGCATGCGTGGGTATATGCAGGCCAACGTATGTATCTACATAAAAGTATTTAGTGCTGTGTTGTCCGGGCCTCGGGACTACATACGTATCTAACATTACCTGGGAATATATTGTACGTTTGCGTGAAAAGTTTGAAGAATGTTTTGTCAGGTCTAGTTGAAATTTGAGTAATTCGTTTCGGTGTTTTGTTAGAATAAGCAACATATCAAACCAGCACGGTATATGTACGTATGTGTTATTACGCAAATTCGTAAATTTGTTGTGCAAATTAACATACATACGTACACATACATATACAAATTTGTTTGTTTTGAACTCACACTTACCAATTCAGTTTAAAAACAATGCATATATGCATGTATGTGTGTGAGTGCACTATTATAATTACATATGTATTATTTTTTCACCATTCAGATTTATCAGCCTCTCGCCTGATAAGCAATAGACCTTGAATCTTTGGACAATTGTTCTGTACAGATAATAACTGTCTGCACTTGACGCAGAAATAAGCGAACGTCGCAATTCACTAAACGCCTCAACCTTTGTGTTGGTACTACACGAACATAGATACAAACAAGCGCACGCTTGCTCTGCGATATCGATAACTTTAGTCGATAAAGTCACGGCTTTGGGTATTTTTTGTGGTATTTGTATGCAAATTCAGGTTTTAGGCTAAAAATGCCAGACATTGCAAAATACTCAAAATGCCCACATGCAAGACATTGAATATTGATAAAATTACAATTTTGGAGCTCATTCTAAGTGCATGCGCCAAATGTTTGGTAAGTCTTTAAGTTAGACTTACCCTACAACGATTTCTCCATGATGCGCCTTATTTCGCCCGCCTCGGAGCTGCAATCCCAATCAGATGTGTTTCGCGCCAATTGCTGCCTGTTGCAGTGTTGCACCAAGTTTCTTGGCGCCGGGACAACAGTTGCATATGGCTGGCCGTTCGCCAGGACATAATTTTGCGGCATGTGCAATCTGGGCGCTGGGATTGGATACATGCGCTCGGAGCCGCGACGTGGACTTTTCTGCAAAGTCATCTGATTAAAGTTGGTTCGCTGCGGCGTCCAATAGATCTGACTGGTCTGCTGTCCGGAACGATCAAGTATAAGGGGCGTCCCACGGCCATTCTGCAGCTGCTGCACCTGCTGCTGTTGAGCCTGCTGCTGTTGAGCCTGCGCCTGCTGCTGCTGCTGTGCCTGCGCCTGCTGCTGCTGCGCCAGTGCCAGCTCCTCGATTCGCACATAGCCCTGGGGACTGGCGCGAATGTATTGCGGCTGCATGTAAAGACTGCTATTGTGATAGTCAATTAGCTTGGCAGCCTGCAGGCCGTCCTCCGTCTGGATGAGCACATATTCCGTGGGTGTAAGCGTCAGCAGCGACTGAGGATTTTGCATCGAGCGCTGAATCGGTAACTGTTGATTGGACACATACTGTTCGGAGTCATTGGACAGCAGGCTGTTGCGCTTGTTCACGTGCGCATAGATGGGCGAGGCACAATTCGTGCCGCCCGAGCCTGGAGCGTAGCTAGAGCGCGGCAAGCTCTGCACGCGCAGCGGCACTTGCGGCCTGGCGCTCAGCTGTGAGGCGGGTCGCTTGTGCGTCTCCACGGAGGCATACGAGACGGGCGAGATGTCGGCGCCGTTCTTGTTGCTATTGATGTTGTTGTGGCGCTCGTAAATGGGCTGCATCTTGGCGGCGGTCAGCGGCGTGCGATTAATGGATTTGCGGCAAAACTCTTTCACCTTCTCCAGGATCTCTTCGCGCGTCAACAGGCCGCCAATGCGACGCGCCGCGCTCGACTCCTTGCGCCTCAGAACTACAGGCGTCTCATTCTCGCTCTCGTAGCCGCGACGTGTCGCCGCCTGATTGCTGGGCATGATCATCTCATCCAGAACGCTCTGGCAGCGCGGCGGCGGCTGTTGTTGCTGTTGCTGTTGTTGTTGCTGTTGTTGTTGCAGCAACTGTTGATTGCTCACATTAACTTGCATTGGCACTGGCGCTGGCCCGATGGGCGTGCCGTCCAAGATCATCACCTGGCGATTCCGACCGCTGATGCCGGAGAAGGTGTTGCGCTGCAGCGAACCGCGCACAAAGTACGGCGCCGGAGCAACGTTCATCAGCTGATTGGACTGCAGATGCTCGTAAATGTTCTCCTCGCTCTGCCGCTGCCGCTGTTGCTGCTGATGCTGCTGCTGATGCTGCTGCTGATGCTGCTGCTGATGCTGCTGCTGATGCTGCTGCTGATGCTGCTGCTGATGCTGCTGCTGCTGCTGCTGCTGCTGCTGCTGATGCTGCTGCTGGTGCTGCTGCTGCTGCTGCTGTTGCTGGAGCACCTTGTGGTATAGCTGGCGATCGGTCACCTCCTTGATGGCGCGCAATTGCTCCCATTCATTGCTGGCCGCATCGCCCTTTTGCTGCTCCAGCGTTTTTCTCACTGGCGTCGATGTGGCAATGGGATAGCTGCTGCGCTCATCGCCGGACATGCAGGATGCGACGGAACGCCGTTGGCCCACGCTCTCCAGTCGACTCAGTGTGCGTTGGCCATTCAATCTGATTTGATTGCGATCCATGGATGCCGATCTGTTGAAGCGATTGAGATTACCCTCGGGCGAGACGCGTCTGGGTATTAGGCTCTGGCGTTCCGCTACGCGCTGGAACGGCGCATTCTCCGCCTGTGGCTTCCATGTGCCATTGACCATTGGCGCTGCACTCCGTTCACTTGGCCTGGGCGCAGCTTGTTTGAGCAAATCACCGGATCTGGCGGCGGGACGTGGCTGCAGGCCAGTTTCCTGCTTCAACTGGCCATTCGGCTGGCGTCCATTCGTCTGGCTTTCGAGCAGTATGCGCCGCATCTCGGCGGGCGTACTACTGTATTTCTTATGGTCATCGACGTCGCCGTAGACCGTGCGCGGCATGGGTATGGCGCCCTTGGGCGTGGTCTTGCGCCGCGTCGCAAATAAACTGTTGGAGAGGCGCTGCAGCACCGATAGCTTCTTAGTGTTGCTTTTGCGCAGAGCCGCCAAGGATTCGGCCACTTGTTGGCGTCGCTCCTCGGCCGTTTGGAATGTGCTCAACCGTGTCGGCGTCGTCGTTGGCGTCGTCGTCGGCGTTGGCGTCGGCGTCGACTTGGGCGTGGAACTATTAATGTCCCGCTTGGGCATCAGCGCCAGACCCTTGCGTTCCAAGTACGCCTGGAACTCGTCGGAGCTGATGGTGTTGGTGAAGGTGCCGGGAATATTCCCGTTGCTTGTCATGCTTGCGGTTACGTTTGGCCCTTGGGCCACGACGGGACTTGGCGGCTGGTTGAGCTCGTCGCTGGACTCGCTTTTGGTCAGCGGTCCGTCTATGTCGTCCAGATCGTCGTCGGAGCTGATTTGCAGCTTTTTGACGCGCTCATCGAACTTTTTGGCATTTTTGGTCACCTCGGCAGGATTGAAGAAATCGCCATTGGAGTCGGTGCCAGTTCTGATCTTCAGATTGGCCAATTCCGGATAATTTGGTTTCGAGCACTTCTTGAAAGTGGGTATCTTCGGTTTATTAATATTGTTGTTGTTGTTGTTAGCCTCTTGATTCTTCGACAGCTTCGAATGCGTCTTGGGATCTCGTCGATTCCCCACCGACGACGACTGCCCGGCCAGGTTTTGCTTTCGCTTGGGTATTTTGCCGGCAATGTCGCGCAGCTCCTCGAATTTTAGACGTGCGAGCACCGTGGGATCGTATACAAAGTAAGCATCCGGATTTTTAATGTACGTCTTAACATATTTGGATTGATTAAGTACCTCCTCGGTGGTTATGAATTCATCAGCACCCAAATTCACTTTACTGGCATTCTTTTTGCGCGCGTTTGTCTCGTTCTTTTGCTGTTCGCGCTCCTTGTCCCTTAGATTCTTCTCTTCGAGCTCACGCTCCTTTAGCTTTTCTCGCTCCTTTTCCTTTTCGCGCTCGCGTTCACGCAACTGTTGCGTAACCGTTTTCCGTACACTCAACGTGGATCGCTTTGTGGGCACCGGCGGCGGCGTCTTCTTATCCCGGCCAGCTATGTGGCCATTCTTGAAGGGATTCTGTTGATCAACGATCGGCTCGCCCGTGGTAAACTTGCGGATTTTCTCATCGTTCGGATTGAATGTAACGCACTTTTTGGCCTTGCTGCTCTCCCTGTCCTGCGGACTCTTCTCCAATATGTTGTCGCAATTGTCAATCGTATTCTCCGGCTTATCGAAGGGTTCAACTATTTTCAACGTCTCATCGTCTACGATATAATCGTTAAATACTTTGCCATTCGCGGCACACTTCTCGTCCAATACGCTGCTATCGACAATATCTTGGATAATCTCAAGATTATCGTTTAGAGTGCCAATTGCCTGGGAGTTGCGCTCGCTGGCAATTGTCTCAGACATGTTTTTCTATAACGCTCGGCTAGGTTGGACAGGGGGGAGGAGTATGTAGGGATTTGGAGTGGAAGAAAGCTGGAAATCAGTTTTGCATAGCCGCCCACCATTGAGATCGTTGCCAATTAACCGCACGAAGAAATCTACAACAAATAACAATATATTATTTATTTATATTATTTGTTTATATTATTTATATTTGCAATCATAACATACTTGCAATTCTTATTCTTCAGCCGTTAAGCCTTTAGAAACGGCCTCCAAATTGTTTGAAAATCTGCAATTATAGAGAAGAATAGCAAGAATTTTCAGTTTTTATGGGTTTTTTTTTAGAGTGAAATCAATTTCTATAATAACAAAATGAAACTAATATTGAATGCAATTCTTTACAAGATAAGTTGGCTAGTATAGATTGTCCGACTAGGAGTTACCCTGTAGCCTAGGAATTACCTCCGTAATTTACACATAAAACTTATCTACCGCTTCTCTTTCTTGTTCTTAGCCCCACAAAATGAAAGGAATATTGAATGCAATTCTTTATAAGATAAATTGGCTTAGTCTAGATTATCCGACTAGCAGTTACCCTGCAGCCTAGGAATTACCTCCGTAATATACACAAAATACTTATCTACCGCTTCTTCTTCCTGTTCTTAGCCCCACAAAATGAAAGAAATATTGAATGCGATTCTTTACCTAGCCTAGGAATTACCTCCGTAATGTGCACATAATACTTATCTACCGCTTCTTCATCCTGTTCTTAGCCCCACAAAATGAAAGGAATATTGAATGCAATTCTTTAGTACAAGATAAGTTCGCTTAGTCTAGATTGCCCGATTAGGAGTTACCCTGTAGCCTAGGAATTACCTCCGTAATTCACACATAAAACTGATCCACCGCTTCTTCTTCATGTTCTTATGAAAAATGTATTCTTAAATCACTTCGGTGCATGTGGTTCCGATTTTTAAACAATTTATAGGCCTTAAAGATGACACTTGAATGTGTGTATATACCAAAAATCGATAGGGCTATATTATCTCAGGCTGGTTTTGAAGCCCTTATAGAGGGTATTATAATCCTATTATGAAATTTTTAGCTTTGAGACACTTCCGAACCCATAAAGTATATGTATTCCTGTTCAGCATTTACAGCTGAGTCTCTATAGATATTATCATAAATCTCTACATGGGCTCGTCTTTCTGTTGCAGGCAGTATATATAATGGAACCGGCCGGATCGGACCACCATATCATATAGCTGCCCTAGGAATAATTGAACGAAAACCAGTTTTTGTTTTTCAACTTATCCCGACCCAACTTTGCAAAGCTTTACGACACCTTTACAAAATCTTATAAATAAGGAACCACTATAGCATATAGCTCTATTGGAAGAATCGGTTGAAAGGTGAGTTTTTGTCTGCAAAATTTTTCTCATTTTGAAAATATCTTAACTGCCCTGACCACATATTTGCAAAACTGACCCTGAACTGTGCCCAGATAGTGTTAATCCCATAGGAACGATCGGTCGAAAATATTGCTTTCGTATAAAAGCATTTTCAAGTCAAGGACATACAACCTTTCCCTCTTGTCTTAGGTTAATTTGCGTTGGGTACAGGGCATACATTTGTTTTCGGGAATTTAAATTCTCTTCGAGGACAAAATCAACTTCAGAAACCGAGGGACATCTGTGCTTGATTTTTTGCCATATGCCTTATAAGCAGGTAAAAATTACGAAATAGTCCAAAAATTGCGGAAAATTCTTGTTAAGCATTTGCCAACCATTTGGCCTCAAATGAATTGGCTAGCACATCTGCGTGTGTGTGTATTTCCCCCTGCCCAATATTTGCCACATTTTTGCAACAAATTCTCTCAAATCTTTTATTATTGTTCATTAGGGCATGGCCAAGAAATTGTGGGCCACAAATGATGAAAAATGCAAAACGAGGCAATTGCTAAATAATTATTATTATTTCTTCCGGCTCTGCCATTGATGTACTCAATATGTGCACATATATTGTATATGTTTATAGGTAATTTATATATATGTACGTCGACTTTTCTATGGTTATGAATTGTGTGCAATATGTGTGTGTGTGTGTGTGTGTGTGTGTGTATTTGGGTCACTTGATAGCTAATCTTTTGGCCGTACCTTTTGTGCGGTAATGAAATGCGCATATGGTTAAACGAATGCAGAATTTCGATCTATGTGTGTATGTAATATACATATGGATGTACATACATATAGCATAAATAGGTATTCATGAGCCGCGTTTACCAATGAAATCAATATTTTTCACCCATATTTAACGCCATAGTAGCTGACAATAGTTCAACACACAGATTGCCCTGTTGCGGGTGCATTCGTCGAGGGGTTGGGCGATCGGGTTTGAGGGGTTGCGAGCAGCTGCTGTTAACCGACTTGAAGCATTTCTAAACTGCCTTGCATTCAATTTGCATGCAAATCTGACCGAGTTTGTTGTACATTTTTTTTTCTTGCTGCCTTTTGAGTAAGTATCTAGTGCACCTTGATACGAGTAGCTGCGCATTTAGTGTATGCCTCATGAAATCGCCATTCGATTGCAAATTGAAAGCCACAAAACCCCGCACAGTCATTCCGACAAGGCGCCACTTTTGCCACTGTGTTAATCGCTTTCCACGTAGTTGCACTCTACGAAAACAGTCTAGAATTCTTTGCTTAAGTACAGATGATCCTGACAAGGTTGCACTTGCTAAAGTTGTATGAGTATGAGTTGGAAAGAGTTGGGTTTTAATCACTTAAACAAAGCTTTTAAATATTATTACTTTAATAGACTCACATTAAAGCCAGTAAGCTAATCGGGCCAATGAAAATCGCATAGAAAGGCGGTAAAGAGCGAATGCGAGTAAGAGAGCGCAACAGGGAGAGAGAGCGAGAGAAAGTGATATAGAAGAAAGAGTAAGGAAGATTCAGCGAATGTGAGAGATACTTTTAATGAAAACAATTTAACAAAAATTGCCAAATCTGTTCTTGATCTTATGAAAATCGCATAGAAAGATGATAAAGTACTTGTCCTTACTTTTACGCGGCAAATTGAGGGAAATGATTGCAAAGCCAATATTATAAAACATACAATTTTGGTGTTCTGAGCTCTTAAGGTCTCTGTGACGGAAAGGTAGACTATATAAGGATGTCTAGATATATGTAGATATATATACATGATGTATCTTCAAATCATGTTTTTTATTAAGGTTTAGATGGAAAGGTGGAGTAAGCGAGATTATATGTATATATATAATGTCCAAGATAACTTTACATCATGTCGTTTTTAAAGGTTTAGATGGAAATGCAGAGTATCTGAGAACATCAAGCCCTAAACTATAATAAATGTTTATATGATGTTCAAGATGACTTAACATTAAGTTGGTTTTGAATAGTTTAATGAAAAGGCAGAGTATATTAGGAGTTCTAGCCCTAAAAGAGATATGTTTATATGATGTTCAACATACTCTTAAATCATGTTCGTTTAGATGGAAGGTAGACTATATCAAGACGTCTCGTCTAAATGAGATAATATGTTCATATGATATTCAAGAAAATTTTACATTATGTTCGTTTTGAAAGTTTTAGATGGAAAGGCAGAGTGTATTAGGAGTTCTAGCCCTAAAAGAGATATGTTTATATGATGTTCAACATACCCCCAACATACCCCATATGATGTACAAGATAACTTTACATAATGTGCGTAATGAAAGGTTTAGATGGAAAGGCAGACTATATGAGCATTTCCAGCTCTAAGCACGAATATCTGTTTATATAATGTCCAAGAAAACTGGCAATTTTTTCGTTTTTAAAGGTTTCGAATTTGGCTGAGATATCTGAGTAGTTTTCTTTTACGGATTCCACAGACACATACATCAATGCTATATGTAAACGTTCTCTGCGCATTATGTATACAGGAACCCATTGAAATAACGGGACAGGTGTTCCCCACATTTTCTAAAGCGACTTGCCCATCTACGAGACATCAAGCGTGAATATATATATATACATATATATATATATATGTATGTATATATACACATATGCGTTTAGCTGGAAAAGAAGTCGAAGGAAAACCTTGTGAAATCACATAAAAGTGCCACCCTTCGTTTAATTTTTCGCTTTAGTTCAAGAAATTGTACAAATGTTACGCGAGGGGGAGGGAGGGGGGGGGGTCAACATTCACCACCCTTGCCACATGCAATCCACCCCTGCTTGACATCTATTAACTAACAACCCCCTGGAAAAAAAAAAAAGAAAAAGAAACTACGAACCAAGCCAAACATAAAAATAAACATAGCCAAGAAGTGTTTGTGGATTAGAAATGCAATTGAAAATGTTTTTCAAATTGTTTGCTGTTTGCGCAATTTTTATTTGACTTTGAGATTTCAAAATATTATATTCTGCAAACTAGAAATATATATTTGTTATATATTATAGCATTAATATAGATACTTTGGCATATTGTTTCGATTGGCCTCAATTGAAGCAATTAACCAAGACTTGCTTTTATTTTGTAAAGAGTTCTTTAATTTGCCTTAACTTGCCTTCACGTATTCGTTTGGGGCCTATAAACAGATAAGTTTGTATATAATTAACCATTTCTTTGTGTTAAAGCAATATCTTTCCGCTTTTGTTCGAATAATCGCCGTGAACGGCAAGACTTTACACAAAGCTGTACAATTTGTAATTGGCCATCAATAATGGCTTTTCATTTGGCAATAATTGTTGGTACACAACTTTAATTTTCCACTTACGAGTTTTGAACATAACTCTTTGAATTAGCTTGAAAATAGCTGATTTATTTTTGAACACTCGGAATGATTTATAGATTTGAGGTTTTGGCGCATGAGACGGCGCCACAAAGTCAATGGCTTGTCACACACACACACAAAGAGGCGTTAAAAGATTTATGCGGCAGTCTGCAGTTGAGATACACACACAAATATATATAGATCACATTAAGATACACATCTTAGTCCAGACGCTGGCAGCAACAGGACAAAGTCCTGCCAAAAAAGCCAAGAGTTAGTACCAAGAATCTATGGAGTCTAGACAAGCTTTATCGATTAGCTTTGCTGCAGCTGCCCATTTGATGGGCGTGCGTGTGTGTTGTGTGTGTGTGTGTGTGTGTGTGTATAAACATGTTTCCAACACTAATTGTGTGTTTATAGCACACTGCAAATGGCCAAAAAGAATGGAGAAAAATAGAAAGATAGATGTAAACTCCAGCTGTTTGTATTGTGAAACACCTAAATTAGGT